ACACTAATAAAAATTAATAGCATAAGTAATTAGTTAAAGTTTTATGCAACAATGAGGTGTCAAAAAACTCGACATGTAAACCGACAAATCTGACACTATAAACAGACAACAAACATTATAAAAAGGGTTCTTGGTTGTCTTTAACCCACGAAATAGCAAACTCGTCTAGTCACATACACATATCACCAAAAAAGGCCATCCATAAAAACCTCAGAAACCATAACACCGAAAAAAGAAAGGAACTTGATTATTTTCATAAGAATTTTATTTAACACCAACAAATAGTTACATACATGTCATCCAAAAGAATTCATTAAGTCAAATGTCTCATAATAGACACTCAAAACGCATAAAAAAATGCAAAAGAAAAAAAAAAACATATACAACTTGTATAAAAAAATCACAGTAAATATTAAATATATAAAAAACAAAATTATGCACAAACCGCATAAAATATCGATCCAATAAATAGTAAATGTCTTCAACAACCATTACAATTAATATAATAAAAAGTAACATTCCCTCCGATTACTCTCCAACTATCACATTCATAATTCGTTCATTCAACTCCGTCATCTCGCTTGCACCTTCCTCATCTTAAGTGCAGGTTCTGGGAACATCATTTATGACCTGTGAATAGAAATTGTGTTTAGACTGAATCGCCAAGTATTTGACCATAAAATATTATATATATATAAATTTGTCAGCATGAATCACAAAGCAGATGAACTACTCAAAAAAAAGATATTGATGATTGAACATAGCCTTTGACAATCATTTTTGGTTGAATATTGGCAAGAGAATTGACTTGCTCGAACGATTGTCATAACGAGCCAGGAGAAGCTCCTTGAGGGCGGTAATCAGCCTTCAGGACGATCGACGCGGAGCACCCATTCAAACTAAATATCGATCAAGTCAAAGACTTATCAAACAATCGACAACCCTCATCAATTGAATCGGTCCCCAGTATTCTTATATGCAAATAACTCTGTAATTTCCAAAAAGTCTCTCTGAAAAAGTAAAGATAAAGGGTATTTTTATGTTACTGAGACCTAGGCCAATAAATAGGAGTCCAAGTCATGAATAAATTACTCTCTTTTTAATGTCCTCTCTCTCTCCCTCTATCTCTCGTTCTCTCTTATTCTATCTCTCTTTATCCATAATCACTTTCTAGCAGAACAACTTTCTATTCCCTTAGCTGTGTTTCCCAGACATTTTTTGGATTCAACAAATATATATCAAAACAAATAATTAACTTTAATTAATTTAAAGTCAATATGGAAGCCACAAATTCCCTTTTGAATTATTTTCTTATTAAAACGATGACTATAATATGTCACTACATGCATGCATTTGATAATTCCTCAAGGGGAAGAATCTTCTTCCCCATTCATGGGGAGTTTATATTCAGAATGTGGGGCCCAACCAATAAAGCCCATAATTCAGATAAAAACATTTAATTCTATCGAGTTCATGGGATCAGATCCTTATCCTCCAAGGAGTTTACATATTTTTATATCATTCTATCCCATTCCTTATAATATAATATTTTCCAAATATTAAATTCTTCCCTCATTCCTTCTTATTTATATGCTTAGAAGTCTATACACTCATATAGGGCTCCAGAGAATAAAAAATTATTCCGTGCAACACTGCATACAGAGATGCATGCGGTGTCCGATCTCCACTATCTATCACGGCTTCGGTGGTATTACAAAAAAAAAAAAAATTTGAAAGTGGGTTCCACCGAAGCCGTGATGTATGGCGGAGATCCGACACATACGGTGTTCGCACAGAATAATTTTTCGTAGAAAATAATCATAAAAGTAGGTTAAAAGCTATGTAGTGCAGAATCTAATCAAACTCATTTCTGATAAGATCTGTCGGTGCAGGTTATCTTATAAATGGTGATATGTATGTTGACGGGCGAAAATTCTCTTTCTTCTGCCTCAAAGAGCTCGGTAATATGGTCATGTAGTTGTTAATGAGTTCACTCATACGAGTGTGAAATGTGAACTCAGATGAAATGGACGATTTTGACCGGAAGATAGAAGTGGGATTGATCCTTTTGTGAAAAGCTCGCTGAAAGAAGATACTCGTAAAATCCTTTTAGGTGGCAAGAAGCTCCGCAGCTTATCACTTCCAAATGTATGTCGAAGGCTATTGATCTTGCCAGCGTCAGAGCACTTCACATCGTTGTTGGGCTTGATCCATCAAGCCGGTGAGACCTATTTAACATTTGGGCTTTCCTACTCATTGACAACTTAGTTCTTAGGCATACAATTGAAGAAAAATCAAACAATTTGTTTTTATAGCTATTAATAAAAATTTAAATGAAATTATTTGATTGTTTAAACTTTGTGATTTACATAAAAAATGGAATAATTGCAAGATTAAAATCTCCCCAATTTTCTCTCTTTTCTCCAACATTTAATTCATTTAATTATTATTCTTCGCATTTAACTCGAGATAGTAGTGAAGATTCATTAAATAAGACTTAATGAAAAATAAAAGAAAAAAGAATCCTCTGTGCAAACGAGGCGTTAGATAACCGTTAAAGTTGTAACGGTCTGTCCGTCAAGTTCATGATTGGGCAAATCTCAACCATTGATTCTCCCCAATCAATGATCTTCCCGCCTCCCAATGCATTAAATCACTATTTTTCCTTATTTATTTATTTTATATAATCAATCCCGAAATTTATTTTTTAAAATTTATACAAATTAATTATTTCACTTCACATAAATAATATCATTGTTTAATTTTTTTTAAAATTAAAAATAAATTTTATTCATAAATATTTGTCGAGCTCTGGTAATTCCTATCTAACCACTCGAGTACCACACTCTACACAGAGAGAGATTCAAACCTTAAACAAAAATGGATTCTCTACTAACTGAGCTGGAAACATGACACATTGGAATTATATATAAAATCGATATTTGGCAGAGCTCGAAATATCAATTTCTCATACGATTTTGGATCCTACGATTAGATCCCGCGCCATGTGCCTAAAATTCCGAAGCCTCCGCTCTACGGTTGGATCGAACCCTTGATCTGAGGAGACTTACCATAAACCCTATATATATATATATATA